TACCAAATTAGTGACGTCATATTTTCAGAATGGTCCTCCTTCATGCCATATTCTTTAAAGATTTATCATATTCATCTACTCAATTATTGTTAAAGCCAATTTCATAAGTTTTTAAGAACATTAAATTTTTAGCGCACAATAAAGCCCAAACTGTACCTTCTTTTTCGTTTAAATAACAATATGACATTTTTGATCTGCTTGGTATATGCATAAAATCGAATGAATTACCGTTTACTTTTCCGAGATTCATTATGATACCATTCAGTAAAAGATGTAAAGTATTCAGGATTTTCTTTAAATCGCATGTTCAATTACATGTATCTTGGTTGATATTTTACTAGCATTTGAATCTTGCGCATATGAGTTTGGTAATGAAATTGTGGCTTTATGGACAACGTTTCTTTCACCAAAAATAGTTTTGAATGATATTATCTTTGTAAAGTTCGCAAAAATAGACATTTTGAAAAATTAACGCCCCGATGGAAAATGTGCTTTTGATAGTGATACTACGTAAAGTGTTTTATGACGGACTTGTTCCCTAGTTTAATAAAAAAAATCTCTAACTTGTAGTTGGGGTAAGAAAATCCGCTTAAAATATTCCCAAGGTAAAATAACTGTGAGACGGAAATGTGTCGAGTCTATTACAGAAATTGAAATATTTAGTTTATTTCATAAACGTTTGCTAGGTAGATAACAACTTTAAAAAGTCCCTGAATAGTAATTCCCCAAAACCCATGAGTTTCAAAGTATGAAGTTTTATTTTTAATATTACCGAAAATTTATATTAGTTCTTTAATTGGTATCCTTATAAACATGTAGCTATGAAATCAGAGTACAATGAAATATGAATATTAAAGGACACAATTCAATTATGATTTTATAGATTGAAAACAATTGCTACACCACTTCCAGAATGACCCTGAGAGTTTTTCTTATAGACTAATGAAAATTGTATACATTTCCATCACTGTCGGTAATAAAATCAGCTATTAAGTAGATAACTGCTAATAAAATTAATTTTTCAAACTTTCATTTTTTTTTCACATTCAACTGAGAAAATAAATAACCCCAAAATAAGACATATCCGAAACACATTTTCACTCCTTTATATTACAGTAAGAGTTTTGAATAAATGGAGTTGACATTTAAATTAATAATTAATAACTACCTGACGACAGCATATACAGATTGCAGGTATGTAAAACAAAAAACAAAAAAAAAACAAAAAAAAATCCGATTTATATTCAGGGTGTTTTGCTGCTCATGTAGACTGCATTGTATTATGTGATAGACTCTTCAGAATGTGTCAGAAAGATAAATTTAGCGGCAGAGCAAATAGTCTCAGAGAGAAAAAATATCAATAACTAATAAGCAAAACAAAGAGGGGGACGCGTTTGTAATGAAGACACTTAATGATATACTATAATACCTTAATTGTCAGCAAATACAGTCTATCATTAAGTCACTGATGTTAAGTCTCGGAGAAAAAATATCAATAAGCAAAACAAAGAGGGGGACGCATTTGTAATGAAGACACTTAATGATATACTATAATACCTTAATTGTCAGCAAATACAGTCTATCATTAAGTCACTGATGTAAAATCTCAGAGAAAAAATATCAATAAGCAAAACAAAGAGGGGGACGCATTTGTAATGAAGACACTTAATGATATACTATAATACCTTGTCAGCAAATACAGTCTATCATTAAGTCATACTCATGTTAAGCCATTATCTACATAATGTCTTTTTTCGGATTTTTTTTCCCATTTACCCGATACATGTACCTCACTTTTCAATGGTATTGAGTAAAGGACTTTCAAATCAAAACCTCCACTGGTCCATGTGGACGTCTCTATATGAGTGAAAAATTCTCAAACGAGGTGTAAAACAACGTACAATCAATCTAATGCCCCGAAATGCTTTAACTTATATTTAAGGGAAATTAAATTTTCAAAAACGTACCTTACAGAATGCAAATATCAAAGTACAGCAATAGAATTCTAAAAAAAAAATGTTTAGGTGTTTGAAGGAACTTTGTAATATTCACATGCATGGATTTTGAATTTGGTTGACAAAACCAATTGTTATAAAAGAACAATATGGTCTAAGATGGATTAAATGCCACTTTTAAAAAATCCTCAAAATATGCCAATGACAAGACTTTCAGTCTTAAAGGCTAAAAAGGAGGTTAACTTAGTTTAACGTAATATTTTTTATAGAGATAAAACACAAGAAATCTTTAGGGTGGGAATTAGTGCTATCTACCGGAATAAAAATTACAGAGTGAGTGTGAGAATTTCCAACTTCAAGAACTATCTAATTAACGGGAAGTGATGCCAGTCCAGAAGATTAGCATCCAAACTTCATTTTCGAATTCACCAATTATCTATAAACCTTGTACGCTTCAGATTGTATTTTCACATCATTATACAGAAAGTGAATCAATGTTTCACCTAAATTGTTTTACAACTTTCATGACATTCAGCCCAATGGATCTTACAGAGCATATATTGTGCATTTACGATAACTTTCTATGCTGTTGTTCAAATGTTTATCGTATTAAGACCAATGTACATGCTTGCCTAAAAATCTAGGACACAGTTTGAACTATGAAAAAAAAAAGTGGAAAATTATCACGAAAAAGACGAGGAAACAGAATGAATATCTGTATAGTCAAAATATTCGTATAATCAAGACGTTAACTAAAGGGAACACTGTGCAATTAAGATTGAAGTAATGGAGCGAGTGTAGATATATGAGTTGGGCAACCCTAATGATAGTCAATGTTTTTCTGTGAAAAACCACAATCTCGAGTTAGATCAAAACCTCTTATGGGAGATTAACAATGGCGCTGTGTAATGAAGATTTTTTTACATTTCCTATTACAACTTTTAAAAAGTGGTATGGGAGATAAATGACACGTTCCCCTACTCTTGACAAGCATTTATATACGCATTTTTTACACGAATTACGTCAGTTAATTCTCAAAATTCTCAAACGAGGTGTAAAACAACATACGATCAATATAATGCCCCCAAATGCTTTAACTGATGTTAAATTTCATTGTTTTTTTAACAGTAATAATTTAAATACCATGTATCTAGTGAACAATAAAAAGAAATTATCTAAATATAATATAAATATTGTAAAATAAAGTGTATAGGAAGAAACCAACCTAAGAGCTCTTGCTTACCTTTAATATTATACGAATTGTGTCTTTCTTTGAATACTCTTATTCCATTTAATTACCAAAAGAGCTTGAGTTTATGTAAAATCTTTCTCAAAATTCCAGCATATTGCTTCTCTCTTTATATAGTGTCTGAAATCGTCACATAATCTTTATTCATTTTCACCCAAGACAAAGCACGGAACCAGCAAATTTTCCTTCATTAGTGGTAGTGTATTTATAATTCATTCCTATTTATTTTCAATTTAACATGTCTTACTCTAGCATGATTACCTTATAAATACAGGTTTCATATAATAAAACTACAACTTGCGTCAAAGCCTTAATATGCAAGTATCGGCAATGTATGTATATTTCCGCTTGAACTATCAATTTACGAGTGTATGATATTTACATTATATATATATATATATATGTTTTGATATCAAAATTTAGATAAATATACCCCGTGTACCACTCTTTTGAATTGGGATGAATAAACTGAGCTTAAACTGGATACAAATACAGACATATCTTTCTTGTGAATGAGCGCTTTGCTATAAAAGGAAGAATAGGAATAAAAAGGGTCATTGATGTTATAAAATACTAATTTATAAAAGTTTAAAATTTATCATAAATGTTGCCTGACAAACTATGCAACCTTCAGAAATTGTCACGTTCGGATAATTCAGCATAGAAAGAATCTGAATTGTTCAACGCTGTTCTTTTCTTATTCAAGCCAAGAAAAACTATATCATTTACATTTTGGGCCGATATCAATATCAATTATTGATAAATAAATCAATACTTCTTTATTCTTCAATACTTCAATACGCCATTTGTAATATTTAAAACATGACAGATACATAAAAGTCAGAATAGGTTTGAACTTATCAAGAATACCTTGTCATTAATTATAAATGTCTATATGTGTGACCAGATACTCCAGCATCTGGTACAGAAATATGGATCAAATAAAAACAAAAGAACAATGCTGCAGATGTTTCTTTTGTTTTTGAAATGACAATGCACTCTTCTATTGTACACAATTGACTGGTCGAAACTGTGTAAATATTATTGATACAATGGATGCAAGAGAAACAAAACCAGAAACAAAGGTAGATAACAAGAATATTGTATAGAAATCGTTGAAAACATCATGTACATTTTTATTCTAGCATGAAATTATAAATATAAACTTATTTAGATTATTCCGTATTTCTCTCGAGTGTGTTCTTAGGCTTATACTTGTGCAATTGGGCCTACTGTTTTAATGCCAGCCATTTTTCAAAAATCGATATGCAACGCATTTCTGTGTATTCAATCTCTCTGAAATTTACAAATCAGCATATTTTTGCTTTCTAAAGGACAAGATAGAATCTAATTCCGACGCTTAAAATTGATTTCGAAAAAAAAATTAATAATAAGACAGAAAAAACACAATATTACGAATAACATGCAAATTATGATAGACAATCTGAAGTTTTGACGATTCTCTCATTCTGTGATAGCATGGTTGAAATATTGCTTAAACTTTGTAAGCTAGCGCATCATCTGTTTTCATTGATTGAAATAAATCTGTTCTTATTATTTACAGAGATAAAATAATATTACCATGTAATATTTTCTGAAAGTACATGTAGAAGTATGAAATCTTACGAAAACAAAATACTTAAAATAATAAGTTAATATCTTGATTAAATAAAATCAGAAAAAGATATGTGTTATCGAAATTGCATTTCTATAACTGAACTCATATAATATAATTCAGTACATACTGAGGCAACACCATTTTAAAAGAGTCCAAATAGATATGAGAGGTGACTTACGTTAAGTATATTCTCCTCTAGTTAATATCCTGTATTTATCCACGTGAAAGTGGTATACCGAAGAATAAAAGGGTTCAATTCCAACAAATTAATGTTTTTCTTGGTCCTTCTCTTGCTTGTAAGAGCAGACCGCAAAATCTAAGATGCGTTGAGAATATAACAATCAAACGCGGTTTAGTTGACCTAAAGCTTGAATCGATGTTAGTCTGCCGTCAATAAAATCCATAGTGAACCATTGAAAATATTGAAGGAATTATTTCAATTGGGAAACGAGCGTCTGGAAATAATTAAACGCATACTACATAGTACTTACATCATGATGAATTTCATTTGATGAGTTACTTTGTCAATATTAAGGTACTAGTATTTGGAAAGAAAATAAAAAAATTATTAACTTTTTGGTTCTAAGTTGTTTTGTGTGTATTGGTAAGATGGGTATGCAATGTTCTAAAAATGTCTACAAGAAATGCTAATGTGGTTGTTATAAGGAGTTATTGGATTATTTTAAGTGATTCATTATATATGTATAAATGTATAAATGTATCAATAATGTATTAAGGAATGAAAATAAAGAAGTTCTTTCTAAAAACATGTGTATTTTCCCGACATTTTGTCCCATTTTGATATTTTAGTCTAACAAAACATGCAAACTTTCCTTAAGCTAGTACAGAGATCCATTTACAGAACTAAAATTTGTTCTTGATTTGCATTTTTGAAACAAAATATAATATATAAATAAAATACAAATACAAAACATAAAAAAAGAAAAACAACGAAACAGATCAAAAAGATTTTTTGATTAAAGAAGAAAAAAGAAAACATCCAAATACAAAGAGAGGTCGACATTTTTTACAAACAAAAAATATTTTACAAACAAATACACAATGACTAGTAGAATGTGTTGTATCCAAAAGAAAGTAAAGCAACCTTTTCATGTTCCATTTATGTAATAGAGGCTACTAAGCCCATACTGTACAAATCGCTGTTGATAAGATGGCAGAGCCCGACAAACGAATTTTAAGTCAAATGCAAATGGACGTTTTTTTAAGTGTATTGTTCTGCATGAATTGTCTACGAATTATCCCGTCATTTCTCGAAACAAGGAGAAAGGCAAGAGCAGCATGGTTCAAAAGTAAAGCATACATCCCGTTCTTAACAATTTTAACGATGGACTGTGCAAGATTTTATTCTTAGAAAATAATTACAGAGGTCTTTAAGGAACCTTTATTGGTTGCCTCTAGGCGCCAATAGAACTTAGAAAATATGATTGTGAGAACTAAATTGGAAAACCCATTACCTAATGGGAGTTTTAAAAAACTGGTTCTGACAGAAGATGCTTTCTATGCTATGTAAGCACAGTTCTGACATAGACAGTTTTAATATCCCAGTTACAGACCACACTATTGAATATAAGGAAATCTATTCAGTCAAACTGACAAATACTTACATATAATCAGCTGTAAGGTTTGTCAAAAATGGTACATGCTGGGAGAGCGGGAGACCGCGTACAACTCTTTAATCGCCGTTCTGCCATTAAGACCAAAAAGACCAAATGACTAATTGGAGAAGATCTCAACCTCAAAGCTAGGTCACATATAGAAATGCTTGACATTAGAAGTTATTGAAGATATCCCAAAATAGACAAAAACTAAAAGAAAAAGCGAGGAATAGTTTTGGATGTAGAAGCTGAAGTCATTCCAACCTGATGTGTTCGCAAATCTAATTATGGTTTCAACAGCAAACATCTTTGAATATTCTCTAGGTTTTAGAAAACTCATTGATTTCTTCTCACTCACATAATTGCCATTTCTAAAGAAATTTTTCCTTTTCAATAGAAATAAAACATGATCAACAAATAAAAGATCAAAACATGATTATGTTTTTTAAAATAAAAAAAAACATTCGCAAGGAAAAAAAAACCTAGGCTCGTGGTTTTAGTCGATATTTTTTATGAGTATTTGGAACCAGAGCTATTGCTCTACTAGACGTTTTTATGCCCTAAGGTCTCGTTTCTTTCTTTTAAGGTTTTTTTTCGTAATGCCTTTCTTCTGTGTATTTTCAAAGGACATATAAAAATTTTAAGATGATACTAATACCGGGCATAAAAGATTATAACCTCAAATAGCACCAAATAAATATGTCAATACTCCATACATGAACAATTTGTAATGATATTGGGGAACATCATTGACTTTATTAGAATATAAAAGCAATGCATTGTTTGCACTAAACAACCCTAGATTGCACTTGATTCTCACTGAAATGCAAAAATTTTATACTATACAGTATTTATAAAAACATATAATACGATATTGCTTCAAAAACTTTACTGGAACAATACTTGAATACTCGCCTAGATATTCTATACTTATAATAATTAATTTTCAATCTGAGTATATTAGAAAATGTTTTAATTTCATTAGTATAAAAATTCTATTTGGTTTAATGTACTGAAGCATGGTTGACAAATAAGTCTTGAAACTTCACAAATGGATGCTCATACCCAATTGTTTATTAATTACATATATCCTTTTTAGCTTCATCCTTTTTCAAACAAGATACAAGTAAACGTGTTATTATATTCTGTTGTATTGAAATGTAACTTAAAGGAACATGTACTTTGCAAAGCAAACAAAATACATGTATGTAAATCTCTTTTTTTGTTCACTTCGATGTACGAAAATTAGCTTATTGCACAGATTTCGGAAGAAAGTGACAATCCTTGAATTTCATGAGGCAAGTATAAGTTCAAAGGATTATCCTTTATCCCTAAATGGATTTGTGTGGAAAATGTTTCGGATAATTTGAATTTGAATGATTTGAGATGTTGTTTTGTCTTCTGATTGAAAAACGTTCGCTTATTTCCAAAAGGAAACCAACATGCGGTCTCGAGTGATGGAGCTGATGGTTGTAGCTTTAGATTTAAAGAAAGGAAATATTTGCACAAGAAACAATCGATGTAGTATGTCTTTTAGAAGTGTCTGATTGACTGATTATAACATAATGGTTATTGATTACCTTCGTGTGAATTCTCCTACATTCTTTACTTTCTGGAATAAATTTAAAAAAACCAAAAAAAAAAAAAAACAGTGACCATTTTATATTGGTTCCGCTTTTTTGCCAGTCAATAATCTGACTTCTATATACAATCCAATATACAATCATTATTGTACAGGAGAACAATAATGTAATTTTGATTAAATCGAAGCTTATATATAGTTCTTCCATCGAAAATATGAACAACAGAATTTTATTCTTATTTAATGTTAGAGAGGTTAAGCATTTCACCGTGTACGTCCACTTGTACGTGTACACCTAGAAGTGATTTTACGTGTACGCGTACATGTAACTATCGTAGTTTTCTCTTTAACAAACTGCACGTGTACCGGTACGTGTAAAACGTTATTTCAACAAGGCACTTTATAATCCATTTGTATCAAATAAATCTATGACTTGAAATAAAAAAGATGCATTGGATGTACGTAATAAACTCTCAACTTCATACCAAACAACGGCTGAAAAATATATATTCTGTAGTTTGTGCTTTAGAAACTACAAGTTCTCATATACGTGTACTTGCAAATCTACACGTTGTGTACAACTTGTAGAATTACGCGGTATGCAAAACTGATGACGTAAATCGCAGGGATTTCCCTAGCTACACGTACACGTAGACGTACACGGTCATCTGCTTAACCTCTATATTATCTATACATTGGAATATAAAGTTAGATTTAAAAAGTAAGCCTTAGGGTTTTCTTAACATGCATTTTTGAAATGGTAAGTTGATAACTTTTAACAGATCGTTTCTTATCTCCAAGAAACCTTGAACATTTTGAGATGCGATGCACAGAATGAAAATTGCTGCCTGAATCAAATAGTTTTTATTTCAAGCTTTAATTTGAAGGGTTTTTACTTAAGTTATAATTTCAAGAGTGATTGTGTGTGCTTGAAAAGCAGATAACCTTAAAATCACAATATTCTCAAAGTAAGTAAGGAAATAAATTGCAAAGGTTCACCTTATTCATAGGTTCTTTTAGCTATTTAAAGAGGGACCAGCTGTGGAGGATGTGCAATTAAAGCTAAAGAAATATATGGCGATAACGAACAGTTTTCAATTAGTTTTCCTAAAACGCAATCGTAATATTGGACTTCAAAAATACTTCTCGGATTCGTTGTAACATGTATGCTTGTAATATAATATAAAATATAATTAAAACGGTATTCATTGATTCATGAAATAATTACTACAAGGCTCCAAAGCAGAATAATTATAGGAAAAGTCAAAATTGTAACATTTTGCTAAACTTAAAGTACATGTTCCTTGAAATTTATCAAGAAATACAATAAAGATGTTCAAAAAGAGTAAAGAAACCACGTGAGAGATTTCTTAACAGTTATCATTATTTTAATCTGCTCATTTTATTACACAATTGAAAGCTCATTCAACACCAAGAGAGTGAAAAACTATTTTGTTCTAAGTGCCGATCACTAATTTGATATAAAGTAACTTGTGTTATACAACATCCTGTGCTTTTTATTCTTGTTTAAGCTTTTTGAAAGAAGAAATAATTAAAAGGCAGACTCTCGACCATAAAGTTTCTGATTCAGTCGTATCGATGCCATTAATCTCTGGGAGAAAACTTAGAGAATATGTCAAGGTCAGTGGAGATGTGATACAGATATTTTGGAGACAAGATTCTTCAGGTTATATTTTCTTTATCCTGGATTTCATTAGATGTTTTTCGCTAAAGGTTTTAGTAAGTTGCATAATGAACCAATCCACATTTCTGTAGACTATGGAAAATGTGTAAATGCAATACATAGCATTTATCACATGCACAACCAAACACGTTTCATTTTCGATCAAATTCACCTCTATCGTCATTTGATTATGTCTCCATTATTAACAAAGATACAAGGTTTTTCAGTTCTACCAATTTCATTATCCATGATATTTATTTTTATTGATCATCATCTCATAAAGAGTTTGATATAAAAACCGTCTAAGTTTTGGGTAGATAAAAGAGTTATTCAATAGTATCTGCGCCTGTTTTAATTCCTGCTTTTATCTTCAGCAAGCCTATATCAGAGAAAATTGAATGTATTCTCAGAGTTGATTACGTTCCCCTCCCCGATGATTTTCTATTCTTA